GTTTCAACAATATCTTTTACACGTCGTTCAACTTCAGATTGAATTAAATTTTCACGAGTTTCTTTTTGACGTCTAAAAACAAAAAAACAATTGTTAACACAATCTCTACAGAATTAAAATGTGATACACAATGAAGTCGGTCTTGTTAATCACAGGGAAAGTATTTTATTCTATCAATTTTGAGACACATTTTCTCATCATGTTTTTATTTAATCTTTCAGAAATAGTTCATATATTAGAATGAGATATTATTGATGTGCTGTTTGGATAAAATCTAAGTTTTTACCGGTATTCCAATTAGATCGTGTTCAAAATTGTCTATACTTTTTAGGAACGGAAGATAAAGCCCGTCAGATTCAAAAACTTTGAATCCGAGAGGATCTATTAGTAAGGGTTAAAAAGTCTGGCAGAAAGTGGTTTCATTTCTAGAATGATAAAAAGAGATAGAGAAGAACGAAACTCACTGTGATACGGCCTCTCCCATAACAGATGATCTATAACTACACCATTACTTCTCAATGCTAGTCTCTTCATAATGACTTTGTCTTCTTATTTTTATTACACTTTCTATTAGGAAAAGTGAATGGTTTTTGAAAATCCAGTTTCTGTCCAATTTACTACGAAAAAATTGACAAATATTCAATTATTTTAGAGAAGAGGAAATCTCTTTGATTCGCCACGCCTTCAAAATCGAGAACCTTGGTCGTGTTTCATCAAAAAAAAAAAAAATCTATTTACAATAGTGACATGCGTTCTCGTTCTAATTCGGCGAGTCGTTCGACTTCAGCTTTTTTTCGAGCTGTTAAATCGGTTAATTCATTTATGCTCGCCATTCGACCTATCATTAATGTTGAATCTTCACGACCATCATTTGATGAAATACTCGTCGATCGACGACGAGATCTTTAAACAAAACAATAATATAACATTTAGAAATTTCAATAGAATTATATTGTATTACCGTTTAGATTTTTTTTCACGATCTCGATCAGGTGAACGTGATTTATGTCGTTGTGATGAACTACCCATATTACGATCTTTTGATCGATCTCGATCGCGTGATAATTTTCGATGTTTATGTTTTTTATTCGAAGGACTACGTGATCGACCCATCGTGCTGTAATACAACACGAAATCTAAACAAAATCTCAAATCTATAGTTAACCGTTCGATGAAAACTAAATTAAAAAGCTATTTAAAAAAAGAAACAAAGAAAGAAAAGAAAACAATAATTATATTGAGATTCTTGTCATAACCTAAAATATAAAAAATAAAAAACATGATTTTAAATTTTTATTTATGAACAAGCGAAAAACAAAGCACTACATTAATATTCTTACCTATTATACTTACTATATCACAAAGAATAATAAAATCAAAAGTCATAAATTTTAATAAAACTATTACAGATGTGAAAAGTAAATGAAATTTATTTTGTTTTTTTTATTTTTATCTTATTGATTAGCATGAAAGAACATTTTAACTGCTAACAAGCAACAAAAAAATTGATTTCTTTGTTTTTTTTTTCGACAAGCAATCATAGTCTAGATCAATGAAACTTTACTTGAAAGTTATTTTCTTTTTCTTAGTACGAGTTTGCCATCTGACTTTTCTAGCACATGTATTTATTCCAATTAAAAGACAGAGCGAATGAAGTGTTTGTCATTATCATCATATTCATCCATATACTATAATAAAAAAAAAGAATTTATCAGTCAAATATCACAAAAACTAATATATTTATTTATATTTTGATTTTCTTCTTTTATTATTTAAAAACTTAGGAAAGAAAATTGAGCAAATAAATAAAACGGAAACCGAAATTAGGAATGATTCATCGTGAAAATGTATCCGACAGTCATTGTTAGATGTCCAATTGAAATGTATATGTCGACATTAGCGACAATTACGAAAATTTATCATGGCATTTCAAAATCATATTTTCAATCAATCATTGGCAATATGCGAAAACAAAAATAATGGTTGGCCATTCAATTAGAAATGGTTAGTGGTCTTTTCAGAGAGGGCGCTAAGGACGATCACTCTAATTATCAATTTAAAAAAATGTTTTTTCAGCAGCAGAAGTACAACAATGGGTTAGTCGTTGAAGAGGGCTTAGTCAGCTTTACATATATGATGTTCCAAGATTATATAAGAAGAATAGATCTGCTTTTCAGGTTCAAACCGGAGTTGAGTCTTTCTTTATACTCTAACATTTTTTATGGCTCTGCCACTAAAATGAGCTCATATTATCTGTAATAAACTTCAAAGCGATTTATTTTTGACCATGTTTACCTGATCGACATGAAAAGAACAACGTTGATTTAGAGTGGATTCTCTTCAGATTAAGTTTAGGAAACTACGTATTTTTTTACCGGTGTTTTCTTCGTCTAAAAAGATAGTTTCCGATCAAAGTTTGATTTCCCATATTCGTTTTATTGTTGTTATTCATTTATGTAACAAAAAACGAGACTTATGACGAATGATGATCATCAATAATATTTCTTTTCAATAAACTAAAGAAAAAAAAGTAATATTGATTGTGGACTTCATCATCTAAGTGTCGAACTTCGGTTCCAATCAACATGATCTTTTAATAACAGACTAATTCAAGAAGACAAAGTTCTTGAAAATGGATATTATCAAAACATTATAAAAAGTTTGTGATATCTAGTAAACGTTGATCCCATAGTAAAAGCAGGTTCCATTCAATCATTGATTTATTCTAAGTTAGATCCAACTAATGAATACATTATTTCTATTATCAGTTAGTTTAATTTAACCGTTGATTGAAAATTGAACAAGAACTCTTTTAAGAAGTCTATAGTTTTGGATGAAAAAAAAAACTTCATAACAAAGATTTTCATGAAATGTGCGAAACTTATTCTTGAGCTTGATGCAATTTTTTGTGCATTTGATAGTCAATGTGGTAACAAAAGAAAACTAGTCCGTGTAGAATGATTACTATCGGTTTACTCAATACTGATCTATGATTGAAATTCTATTAGTACAACGTCTTCTTGCGAACCATGAAATCTGCTTGTGGACAAAAACACACTAATTGTATCAGAGTTCAATATTTTCCTTGCTTTGTTTTGCAATAACTTATTTTATATTGTAGTTTCGTTAATCATTTCCGGCCGGATGTTTCCAAATGAAAACAACTGACTGTAAAGAAACAAAAATTTTTAAAATTCTTTTTCTTCTGTGATTGTCCAATTAATGAACTTTGTCATATTTCTGTTAAAATATATAGGAAAGAATGTGGGTATGGGGTAGGAATATCAAGGTTTCCCGTTTCCTAATGTTTAGTTCCTAAGAAATCGACTCCACTTGAAGATTCATTTCCATGCGTTTCTGATTATATTAAAACTTTTGGACGTACTTATTCTTGCAAGTCGATATAGGTTTTCATGTTTCTATGAACGAAACACAGAAACTCACACCCCTAGTGTGGGGTAGATGCAGGTCAGGAGAAGATCCATACTCCACTCCCACCCTCAGATACTATCAATTTTAATTGACAGCTGATTATTCATCACATTAGTATTGTTCAAGTGAAAAAGGCTGAAAAAAATCTAACGAGAGGATCTAGAAAGAATCCAACTCAATATATTTAGTAACAAGTTAACGATACACCGCACAGCAGCAAGAGAAAAATTTCATGCTAAACAGGCACATTCAATATTAATAGATTCTCACTGGATGATAACTTATATCTAAACAATATTTTAGTGGTGACGTTTTCTTTCTTAAACACATTTTTTACTCATTTATGATATGACTAAGTCATATAAGACACTGTATGATAGTACATTCATGATTTATTTGAGTATTGCTATAATATTTCTTGATACTCATACAACTCTTTCCTGATATGCTCTTCTTTGAAAATTAATCCGAATATTTTTAGTTAGAAAGACGATAATCATGATGCTTGTTTTGGTAGTTCTAGTGCATCTTAATTTACAAATACATTACTTATGTTTTTATAAAGTATTATAGCATTCTTTCAACTTGTTGATTGTCAAATTTTTCCTATGTTGGTATGAAAATTGAATTTATATCGTCTTTCGAATGTCATGCACATCAGTTACTTATATAGCAGTAATATTTCAAAACCTTTATTTCGATCAAGGTGATATGTTAAGAGTTACTAAAATTTTCCAAGCTGCAACTCATATAGGCGCTTTTTTCGGTGGAAAAAATAGCTTTTGTCGACATCACTACAATGGGAGAGATGAATTCAATGGAAGTTCTTAAACATCCGTTTACCATTTGATTATGCAAATACTTCTCAGCTCAACTTCGTATTTCGAAGAGACTATTTTGAAAAGTTCTGAATATTTTTAATAAAAGCTAATTTGACTTCGCAATCGTTGATGATCCGATCAAACTATTATGATGAATATTGACTTTTAAAAAACAGTTCGTAAAATCTGTTAAGTATATCAATAGTTCAAAATCAATATATACCTTTGTCCTATATTGAAAATGTTGTTATCTGTCTTATTTTTCTTTTAATTTGAAATAATTATTCTATTTTAATTAAATTTTGAAAGTATATTTTGAGCAAGTTCGAGAAAAAAATGTGAAATAATCTTGAAAACTATATTAAATATTGTATAAAATATTAATTACGCTTTCAAAAGTAGAGTAATGTCAATAGATTATAAATAAGTTAGTGATTTTTCTCTAAGAAAAGACAATTGAATCGTTCTAATGATGTATTTCAAAAAACTTTGTGAATGAATCATTTTTTGATTTTTCCGATAATTTGAAATCTATTCAGTATTAAAATAAATTTAGACAAAAAAAAGAAAGATCATAAGAAGACATAGAATTGTCAACTAATACCTTCGTATTGTCAATTTTATTTCAGAATGATTCCGAAGACATTTAATTTATCTAATTGAAGATTATTTTAATCCTAAACAAGATATAAAATTTTTCTCTATTCATTCATGTAAATTACTTTTCGAATTTATCAAATTTCTAACATGACATCGTGGAGATATATAGCTGCCCTTTATGCACGATGTTTTGGTATTCCAATATTAAGTTTAGGAATAGTGGGTGATATTTTAAATATATTCATATTTTCAACAGTCAGTATGTACCGTCAAACACCATCAACATTTTATCTATTATGTGCGGTTATTGCAAATTTTATTCATCTAACAAGTGCCATGAGCACAAGAATACTTATTGTTGGTTTTGATAGTGATTTAACACGTTCATCTATTATTTGGTGTAAAATTCGTCAGTTTATTATTGCAACTTATGCTCCATTAGGATTAACATTTGGATCTTTAGCAACTTTTGATCAATATTTAGTGACATCACGTAATGCTCGTTTACGACAATTCAGTAATATTAAAAATGCTCATCGAATTGCTGTTGTATTTATTATTATTTGGCATGTTCATAGTATTCCATTTCTCATTTACAATCAAATACAGTAAGTTAAAATAGTAATAATGAAAAATAATGACTATTTATGTTTTTATTTTTGTGGAACTCACGTATGTTTTCGAAGAAAATAGTGAGTGTAAGTTTTCAGTTCGAGGTTGGCGGCTCCCCCCTCACCCCATTACAGACACATAGCAACGAGAAAGAGAACATTACAGATATACCCCCCATTACAGACCCCCCCCCCCCCCATTACAGACCATAGCAACGTAGGCTACCATTGCAGACAACCCCCCCATTACAGACTTTGGCAACTTCGTGAAAAAAAATTCTGTTCGAAATTGAGAGATAAAAAAATAGCATTTTCTAATAATCGATTATCTTTAGAAAAGAACTACTATTATCTTTTGGAAATTTTAAATATTGGGTATTTTGTCATTAGTATAATGAAACCAAAGGAGATATGTGAGTTCCACATTTCAGCCCCAAAGGTGCTGCGCTAAGAAGCTTTTTTTAATCTATTGTGTTTTGTATTTTGTTGACAGTCATCACTGTTGATAAATTAAATTTTTAACTGTCTCCCTATCATCAAGACGATTGGTAAGATAAGCATTAGAGAGGATAAGAAAAATGAAAAACTTAATTTCATATACGCAAGAAGAAGATAAAGTAATTCTTTAGAATAATAAAACTAATCTTTATCCAGATTGATACGACTTAAAAATAATTTTAATTAAATTTACAGTAAAAAAATAAGGAATTTTCATGTCAAATAATAATCTTCTATTGGGCTCTTGCACTTCAGCAAAAAAAGTCAATCAAAGGCACATATATGCAGATAACATTTGTATTGAAGTGATCAAATATTCCAATATTGTTAACGTATTAGAAAACATTAAAGATATAATAAATACTGATACGATTTACAAAGATTCATTTTCCAAGATAGTAAACCTAGATCATGAGATTGATTTTTTTTGTGCATGATCCTAATCCAATACAGATAGCTTGTCTTATATACATTAAATTAAATGAGCAGTTGTTTTTGTACAAGTTCAGTTTTTAAATATTTCGTTTTATATTATTAGTAGATATTGCATAGTTCTCAATTCAACTTATGTGTTGAATTCAGCTTATCGATACAGTCTAAAAAGAGAATATTGAATAATTGATTAAAATCAGTTGAAATAAGTTTTTCAGTAATCTTAGTTCGTATGAAAAGACTAAACATTTCATTGTGTTCGTCTGAATGAAACTTGAATGATTGAAATCAACTCCTTCAATAGATATGAAACTGTCGCATTGATTTATTATATTGAAATATTTAGGTCAAATAAATGTATAATCAATAATACAATATTATCGATTTACTGGTCATATATACATTTTTTTTGTGTTTTACTGGCCATTCCCACAATAACATTGGTGACATTTGGTTTTCTTGCATATAAAAATATGCGTCGATTAGCTATATCTGGTCAGTTAGTCGGAGCTGATCGCCAATTAGTTAAAATGGTTTGCTTACAACTTACTCTCGTGGTTCTGGCAGCAATACCTTATGGAATTTATAATACATATATTTTATCAACATCTAATAGAAACAAAACTGCTGAACAAATAGATCAAGAATTCTTATTTTTAACTACTACAAGTCTATTAGGTCTTTTTAATTTTGGAGTAAGTTAAATAAAAATTTTCATTTTAAAGCTAATATTATTTAATATATATTAAGGGAAGTTTTTATGTATTTCTTGCTGCTTCAAGGCGTTTTCGTCAAATAGTTTGAGAACGATTATTTTGCTATTGTAAAGTACGAAATGCAATTATACCTAATACAATGTCTTCAAAAGGACAAACATAAATTGTCTATGGAAAATTCTTTGAATGAGAGGGTTGATTTGTCCAACAAAACCTCTCCTATAATTATTAACATGTTATTCGACTCTATTAAAACATATCTCTGTTTTCCTATAATTATTTTCTTGTATAAATTACATTAATACAATTTTTTTGTAAATATCTTTTAAACAAATCAATGAGAATATTAAATAAATATTGAACAGCTGGCTTTCTGGAAAACTAATTTGTTAGATTTATCATTTAATTGTTGTTTAATAGATTCATTTGGTTTTAAGTATGCAATTCACATTGTCTAATAAGTCCTGCTATTGTTCAATGTTCGAAAGTAGAAATAGATTGGGTTCGGACAAAATACAATGAACAGTGAAACTGCAGAACAGATTGGCAGTAAAACACCATATTTTTTATTATCTGTTTAATAACAATAGTGGCATATTCAATAAAACTTGACTAATAACACGAAGATCAGTTCAAAAGTTTTTACTGTCCTGAAAGGACGCAGGGAAAGATGATTGATGAACACTTTCTTGAAAGTTAACATGAGATTGTCCCGCAATTTTTGTTTTTGTTGTTATTTGTTAAGTTTCAATTTAAGAATAAATGATATTTACAGCAGTTCTTTACCTCATTATTTTCTAAAATTTATATAACTGCTCTAAGAAATGGATTCAGTCTGGATTTATTAACTTTTTTCATTTCTAGCTCAGTCCGTTCTGCCAATTGAAAAAAACTGATTGTTCAAGCCAAAACTTTGCTCCAATTCCATGTTTTACTTCAGCTTCCAGTGCTGACAGATATGTAGAAAGAAGAAAAACGATAGAGAGACCGATCTTAGTGTTTATCAAGAGAAAATAATGAACACTAATACTATAAACTTTTTTGATACTGTAAGGCGATATGAATCAAAGAAATCATGAGCTGAAACAGTGTAGGTGGGGGTAATTTACAAATAATTGATCGTAATTTTAAAATGCTGAATCGTATTCAGAAAAAAAAATCGGGCACGACTTCAATACAGAAGGAGTGGGCCATACAAAAATAGAAGACTTCTTTTTGTGAAAATGAAAAAAGCAATTCAAAGTTTTCATTGCTTTATTAATAGAATACTCTACATTTCCAGCATCTTGTGGTTACGCTGTTGAAGTTATTGTTTGAAAAGTTAGACGAGTACTATGAAAAAGATACTAGCATTTCATTCTATGCAAAATTCGAGTCTCGAGAAAATAATATTACTTTGAAATTGAACAAAGAAAACTATTAAGTTATTTCTAAATGAGAACTAATATCATTAGAACTCTGTAAGGGAAAAATTTTTCAAATATTCAAATCGTCACAGACGAGTGATTGAACAACAAATAATATTTTCAGTTTAACATTAACCAGAAAACAGTATACAGAAACAACACATCTGGTAATATTCCAAAGTAAAATATTCTATTTGAATTGTACCTCTGGTTGTTCACAGAAACAGAACAGGAAACAAAAAATGCTCCATTTGTTATAGACCACCTCTTAAAATTAGGTGATACTGTATTATCCAGCACAAAAACATATTGTAGCTTTGATATACAAGTTCTGATTGAAAATACAAAATGTGGACTTAGCTATTTCCTAAAGCTTAGCACACTCTACTTTTGAGAATGTGTGCATTCTCTGCACTCACAGCACATTTACATTCAGAGAGAAACTGGTCTAAAACCTTCATGGACACTGAACTGATGAGTTTTTGTTTCATTGCATCTGTGAATATTAATATTGACGTAGTTAAATTTCAACAAAGTTTCATCATACAACCTCTTTGATATAATAAGAGCAAAAAAAGTAAATAAGACACACCAGTAATGACCATTCAACTAATTACTAGCCGTTTTGCTCTACTAATGAATGATTCGTACTTGAGGATTTAACGATAAAGAAGTTAATACTCTGTAGATGGGGCACAGAAATGCATTAAGAACCAAACATGTTTTTCTCCTTCTTTAATGACGAAAAAATGCATCTCTAATGTTGAGTACTCTGAAGAACAAAAAAAATTTTATAACATGCTATGATGACGAAGCATTTTTTTTTTTGTATATGAAAAAAGCGTGAAATTATTACTGTTTCTCAACAGAAAGATAAATTTTGAATTGTTGATTAACAAGGTTTTCCCAGAATAACCGAGGCTGTTGATATTGATATATTTGAAAGTGTTGGAAATGAAACATTTGATGGTTTCGAACGTATTTTTATAAAAACATTGAATATAACACATTGATGTGCGTCCAATATTTCTTTTTTTTAATTCGAAAAATGTATCCATCTATATGAAGTATGAAACGAAAATTAGTTCAAGTGTTCTGAGAATCCTTTGGTTAAGAATTAAAATTATCGTTTGAATGCAACTTGTTTTTGATAAAATAAATAAATTTCAATCAAATCAAATTTCAACTTTTAGAGCATCTTTTGAGCTTTCAATAGTATCTTGTCTGTCCAAAATTAACGTATTCGAGGAAAAAAGGCAAAAACCCTTGTATCACGCGACCAACGCACGAGTCTTTTTTGTATAGCGTTCTTTTTTTGTCGTTTTTATTTCTCTCTATTTGGCCATTTATTATTCAACGCTAAGAAAAGAAAGACTTTTGTCATGTGTAATGTGACAGCTTACTTTATTCATTCTTCACACATGACTGAAAGTGAATACTAGCAATATAAAGTAATAAGTTTTGTAGAACAAAATCAGAAATAGTCAATGGCTTCTGGATTCGAAGACGAGAAGCTAAATGCTTGCTGTCTCACTGAATATCGTCAATTGCCTGGAACTCCAAGAGGAAAAATCATCAAGATCACCGATATTAGCACTTATCATATTGCAGGAACAGATCATGCATCCAAAAACAAGGCAATGGTCCTATTAACTGCTATATTCGGTATGCCCTTATCTTTAATGTTGATGTTATTCATACATGTCAAACATTGAAATAGGTCTGACAAAGAACCCACGTATCACTGCCGATGAACTATCTGAAAAAGCTGGTTTTGATATCTATATACCGGATCTATTCAATGGTAATCCAATTACATCTTCATTTCTTCAAGGTATACCTCAAGTTTCAGGAGAAAAGATGTCTATTGGTATTAAAGTAAGTTATCCGTACCAAGATTAGTCATTGAAAAAATTGTTTTCTTCATAGAGATTAGTTTCACTGGAAAAATCATTACATCATTAGTTCCATGTCTGTTCCGTCATCGACAAGCTATCACTCTTCCCATTGTGGAAAAGTTCTTCAAAGTAAATGACTATATTATTCTTTTCTTTTCTCTTTAAGAAATATTTATAGAAAATAAAGACTCTTCGCTCGGAAAAAGGAACAACTAGAGTGCAAGCAGTTGGTTATTGTTTCGGTGGTCTCTATGCATTGTTAGTTGGCAGCAAAGAACTTCATCTAGCAGATGCCATTGTCGGTTGTCATGTTTCACTGACCAATAAAACTCACTATGAACAATTGGATGTACCTGCGACGTTTGTCTACGCACAACAAGAGGATCAATTTACGGATGCTCTTCGAGCAGAAGCTGAACATATTCTTGCTCGTAAGTCAGAAATACCCAGCAAGTTTCTATTAACAAAAGGAACAGTTCATGGATTCGCAGCTCGACCCGACCCTGACAATACGACGATTATGAATGCATACAAACAAGCAAATGACTTCATTGCCGAATGGCTCAAAGCTCATCTTTAATAGTTACATTCATTCACTATTGGTTTTGGGATTGACTGATTATCGAATAAATCAGATTTCATTTTTACGAATGTGTATTGTGATGATGGTGAAAGAATATTGATGTTTTTAATGACTTATCGAGTGCATCCGTTCAATATAAAAATGATTTATTTTTGTGCAGTAATTATGTTCTTGCTTCGTTCAGTCAATTACATGGATTTCAAATGAGTTACAATCTTATGTTTTGTCATATGTATTAGATATTGTTGAAATTTATATTGACTTTTGGTTGGATCTCAGTCAATTGAATGCTATTAGATATGAGGATACTCAGAAGCAAAGTTGCGCCATATTTTTTACCAAAACATGAGATGACAGTATGTGTTTGTTTCTTTGCAAAATGATCAAATTGAGACTTGTATTTCATGAATCTCTCGAATGTAATTCATGCCCACCAATACACTTTCTACAAGTCCAGTATATCTACTTCTTGAAAATCGATGATATTTGCATGTAGATGTGGACATTTCACCATCGCATAGAGTTCAAAGTATTGCGTTGATTGCGCCTATTTGAAACTGGCCTGAATTGGTTTTAGTTAAACTCTAGAATTACATTATCTGTTTCACTAGATTAGAACCAATTTTCCATTTCAACCAACAATAACAAAACCGATTCATTGACAGAAAAAGATTTTTGAAATTGTTATAGTTCTCTCTCCAGATGCATGAAAAGTAGGAATAATTTTCTCAAGCTCTGTAAGATATGTGATGTAGTCTTTTCTGTTCAAGTTCACTTCCTAATTCTTATCAGAAACATATTTTCGAAAGATACAGGAAGCCAAAAATTAGTCCTATCACAATATAACATCTCAGTTAAAATTCCATTTGCAGACGAAACAATCATTTATAGAGAATAATACATTCCAAGAACAATATGAAAGGACTGGAAGAAAGACGACAAGGCTTAAACAAGAACAACATGTAAGGACCTATTGACTTATTTTAAGTTTTGAGTCTAGTCTTTTAAAACTAAAAACCCTCTAATGCACAAAAGAGTGCTATACATTTCAACTACTTGATTTTTATCAACTATAGTAGTACCATAGACGAGATATCTTGAGAAGTCTCAAATCACCAGCATCTTATTGAAGAATAATACTTCTTAGAATGATGTGGCCATTAGTTCAGACAATCCAAATAACTTTTTGAAGTCAACATAAACTAATAACAATTTATCAATGTTTGTGTATTTGTTTACTATCTACACCCTTTATTTATGTTAGTTGTATTGATATTGAACTATCGTTCTATAGCATAAAGAAATACTTAACGCGTTGTATTTCGTTTTAATATCGTTTTCAAATAGCCTAATGTCCTTCTATTCTTGCCCTCATATTTAGATTGTCTTGAAAAATTACATGGTATACATTATTTAAATTTTCAATCTGCTTTTTTTTCTTTTCTAATGAATCTTTTCATTTCTTCTATCGATACACACAAAAATGACAACATGTTCGGAAAGGAAATATTTTTTTTGTCTTTAACATGTGTTGTCTAAAATGAGACATTGAAAACAATATTTGGCATACCATTTTTGTATCGCATGTTATCAGCTTAAATAATTGTAAAATTTAGAAAATAATGTATGATAGAATTACTACAGTATCTTATCAATAATAAAAGGTAACGATTTGAAACTTTGTAGTTATTTACTACGCGGTAGTTACAATAACTTGCTAAAGTTGAAAAAAAATTGCTTTTGTTGTATACAGGTAGGATCGATTTTAAAATCGTTTTTGAACTTCTAAAGCACATCTGCTGTTGTGTATCGTAAGCTTTATGTCCTGAAATATGAAACACGTGGCTAGAGATTTCTTCTAATTTAATTGAAAATTTGTGAGCAAACAAAAGTTGAAAATAAAGTAGGTCACTGATGTCCAGAAAGAGAATGTATTAAATTGAATATATAAATATAAGAAAAAATAATATTTGTAACACAATCACAGAGAGAGTTAGCTGTCAGAAGTTTGTCAAAACAAAAATTGACTCTATTTGCCAAATTCTGGAGTAGGTCCAGCCGATTTGATCTGTGTGTTTTCAATGACAAAATGCCAATCGGCTGTTGGATTCTCAACACCATCGAAAGGTGCTTTCAATTCCAGTTTTGTTCCATTAGATAACGTGACTTCGACGCGATCGATCACTTCACGAATATTATACGTACGTCGAGTAATTAGTCTTTCTGAGAGATAACGTGTTTTACCCTTCTCTACATCAATGTCCAAACGTGTATTCTTGATTTCTCCATTATCATATTCGATACCTTCGTAGATGAGTATAACTTTAGCATCATAATCTGAGACATTCTTCAAGGCACAAGCATAAATTTTACGACGATAATTTTTGTTAGTTTGAGCACTCATGATTGGATGTAAAATTGATCACTGTTAAACGAATAAATACTTATCGACGTATGAAGGTAAAAAAAATGAAACGGATGAGAAATTGCATCTCACTCGATTGTATAGTTATGCATTTATTTTTTCCATCCAATCGATTAATGAATATTTGGAGGACACAAAAAATGCTTGAGACACACCATGTTGAAACTGACAGTAAAAAAAAAGAAAGAGAAAGTACACAGTCATGCAAACAGACACTAACGTGTTTGTCATGAAAAGAACGAAATTTACTAAATATGTGAGCATGATTTGGTTCTATTTCATCAAAAAATTAGAAATTAGGAATATTTAATAGAGAACTTTTGTGAAACAATAAAAAATAGTTCTGCTAGAGTCATCATCTAGGCTTGAATGGGAAATAACTAGATTTTTTTAAAATGTTTTATACTTCCTATTTGTTCATTTTGTGTTTGTTTACTTACAACATCGCATATTTACAGATCTATTGCTGTCAGTTAAAGATTTTGAAAATGTAGACACAAACGAAGATAGAGTTAGTTATTTTATTGATCTTGCCGATTGTTTATACAATCATTATCATCGATAGAAATCCAAAATTTATGCAAAAATTGCTTGTATAATCTTCATACAGATTAGTTACAAACTAATAAATTGAATAACTGAATCTTTGAAACAAACAAAAGACATCGGTGCTTTACTGTTAGCAGTAGTCATTTTCTCGGTTCATATTATTTTTCTTAATATCGATTATTTCTCTTATTCATAAAAATTTATTTAAAAAGAGTATAATTTTTTACAAATTAATTGAACGAAACTATTGAGCGTACATCTGTTTCATCATATTTTTCCCTTGATTCTTGTTTTTCCAGGTCCCTTTCAGCAACAAATTAAGTTCAAGATATAGAAAGTACAGTAAAAAAAACAATTTGAGTATCTCAGTTCTATTCAAAACTTTTACAAGTCGTTGAAAATATAAAGGTTACAAATATTATGTGTCAACATATTGATAGACCTTGCAAGACGTTATAATATATAAACTACTTATTGGATTTCTGGAGAATTCAGAAAAAAAATAGTAAAGAAATATGGTCGAAAATAGATAGAATAAGATAATCTCTCTATGATTAGCAAAAGTAGGTGCATCAGCGTTCGTATTATAATTGCACAAAAGTTGCGCTATCAGCTTTTATGCTTTTATTCGTACCGTGGACCAAGAGGTAACATATTGATTCGAATTTCATTAAATTTTCTTCTCGAATATTGAAATCGATATAAGAACATTTGTGTATATATAATGTTGTATTATACAAATCTATGACATATTCACTATGCTTATTTTTGTTTCATACTAATGAAAAGTATTATTATTCGTTGGAAAGAAATTGAATCGCGCTCTTTCCTTATCATTACCAAAATTCAGCAATGAAATTTAGTGTAAAATTGAAAAAAATCGATATATTCAAAAGATTATCTCATCATTCTCGAAGAAAACGATCAAATCATGATTTACCTAGTATAATCAATGAAGTAAAAACTAGCAAGAAAAAATTTCGGTTTTCTCCTATTAAAAAACTTATGTGGCATAAGAAAAAAGATAAATCAACTATTAAATTACCATTAATTACTCGTTTACCATCACCACGTATTGAAGAACTTGAAAATGAATTTATGAATGTATTGAAAAACATGTATAACAATTCAGAAACATCAAATTATGAAAAAAGAAAATATACCACTGTAGTGGATCTTTTTAATTTAAATAATACTTTAAAAGAAACGATTGAAGAATGTAATCAATATCAAACAATGTTTCATGCTAGTAAACGATTATTACTAACTCGATCAGTAGATGATTTTGCTAATATATCAATAAAACCTTATCTCTATTCATCATTAAGTTCTCAATTTATTTATCAATCATGTTTAAAAAATAAAGTAAGACGATCAAATTACTCAGATAAATCATTAACGAATATTTCAAAATGTCAAATTAGAGAAATAACCGATTCTTCAATAAAATTGCTTTTAGAATTAACTAATACATCAAAAACATATAATAAATCTGAATTATGTTTAAAAAAAGAAAATTCTCCTATTAATCATAAATTATCATTACATTGGGATGAAAGTTCTTTAAAATTAACCTCAAAACATGATCAACAACAAGAATCAGCAGCTATTATCGAAATTGAACATCAATCATATAGTTCCATATCATCATCATCGATTGATTTTAGTAAACCTCTTGAAAAATCATATTCATCTCCATTACCTATGAATACAAATCATTTATCTAGTAATAACAAAAATATTCAAAGTGCACATCTAATCGATCAATATCAATATGAAAATAAGAATCGAATATCTTTATATTCATGTATTAGTGAAATGGAAAATGATGAATCAACGAAAACAATCAGTTCTGATGACGAAAATGTTAAGCATAATCTTTTTCAATATCAAGATACTATCAATAAGAAAAATATTCGACATAGATGGAGTTTATTTGATATCTGGGAGACAACGATAGCTAAGTTACCACCTATTTTAAATTGTATTTGGCGACAACGATTATATCGTACGGGATCAAGAGAATTTCGTAAGTTTTCATTATCCATATATGGGAAATTTCAGGAAAAACGAAACATACGGCTATTCTATTTTCATTTGACTTTGATTTACAGCTTGCATATATGGTGATATTTTCAGCAAGATAGAACTCCAATAAGCGTCCTTTGAGAAACCGGTACCGTTCGACATCAATTTGGAACTTCTCATTTGATTATAAGAGCATCTTTTCGTTTGTATATTCGTTGTGTGTCACGTCAAACATACATGTTTTAATTTTGCAAAGTCACGCCACTAAAGAATGAAATGATCCATATCTTTTGTGAAACACTATCAATAATATCTCGTTATAATATATGAACTACTATCTCATTTACATTTTTGGAGCATTAAGTAAAAGGATGGTCCAGTAATGTGTCTCCAAATGATAGATCAGACTTTTATCAGATATTTGAAAACTAATAGTTTTGTTTTGTAGTACTTGAATATGATCAAACACTACCGACAAACAATAATAATCATCGAACCAATATAATGCATGAACAACGTTATGTTGAACAAGAACGTCCAATCAATACACATTTTGGTGTTGCTCTGCTTGCCTTATTGATATTTCCACCTGTTGGTAAGTAAATTGATAATAATGAAAGTCAAGTATTGATTATAAATATGGCTTACTATTTATCGGAAATAGTTTTAGAAGAAAATATAATCATTTTGAGTATAAGATGAATATGTTGACAGCAATGATATACAGTTATCTCTTTGCAAGTCTAATGTGTGTATATCAAAATCATAACACACTAGCTCACATATAATTATCTTGTATTCCTTGAAAAATTTTCCCACCGATTCTGGAAGTCAGAGATCCAAAACTACGATCAGTCTTGATATCTGTATCTCGGACACGCTCTTATTTAAATGTGATGATTATCTACTATAAATCAAATTAATTAATTTTTTTAGATAAAGACGAGTATCACTACAATTAAATTAGTTCATATCTGTTAAGAAAAATACCATTTCGTTCGAATGCTTACAAAGCAGGGTTCAAAATCGGATTACTTTTTGATGTGCGAACTCAGCTGAGAATGGTACTACTAAAAGTATATTTCTTTTACAAAAACGGATTTCTAATTATTGGCTAAGTGAAACTTCCAAAGCATTTGCATAACAAAGATTCCTAATTGTTATCAGTTGTAAGCTCTAAAGTTCGTGTAAGAAATTCAGACGAAAAATCAAAACAAAACTGATTAAACGAACGCAATTTAATTCTAATTGCAATCGAACTATTCCATTTTAACACCGATTTCAATTGATTTAAAAATTGAAAAATCAGAGTTTTGCTGTGTTTTCTTGCGTGGAAGATTTTTCTTGAAAAAGAAATAAGGTTCAGGCCGGACGGCCCGTTTTGAGCTCTGCTACAGAGCATAATCAATCTTTTCTGTTTATATGTTAAGATTTTTCTTTGTCTTTTAGGTATATTAGCTATTATTCTAAGTATATGGTCATTATGCGGTAAACAAGATCGACATTTATCTCGAAAATTTGGCAATGCTGCTTATTGGATTTCTATATTAGCTATTTGTTTTTCGTTTCTGTTGCTTTTTACTCTATTCACATATTTTACCTATCAATACTTAATTAATCGACCGATCATAATCAATCACTATTACACTACTCATTGGACACGTCATTCATTAACAAGAGATATTGACTATGTTTGAATTTATCGAAAATATCAGTTTTCAAATAGAAAAATAATCTTTTTCCGATGATGTATCGTATGAAACTTTTCATGCTTCATAATTAAATTTTGTAGATGTTGAAAGTGTGTGCATGCAAATCAAATAATTTATTTCAATATAAGACAGTGATAATGCGTCGCTATCAATTGTTATTAATAAATGTTGATTCAAGTTTAATATTGTATCAACTTTGACCATTCATTGAGTAATACAAAGTCAGAGGTTTGTTCATCAATATGTCTTTATGAAACATTTTGTCGATAAAAACCATTGAGTAACTTTTTGTTTTCTTACTTAAAAATTTCTAACATAAGCATAAGGGTATGGATGTGGATAGAATAGAGACCTCACTCACTTCCACATTCACACACTTGTCATTATGTTATTTGATTACAGTAAGAACAGGGGCGCATAAGATCCTGATTTGGCCCATTGGGTTTTTCACACTATATCCAGCACAATCATATATAGAATGAAAGAGCTTCAACTGGCGAGTACTTTTATACTAGATTTCAGGTACCTTTCAAATACATTTGAGGACTTCCTACCGTAAGATTTTGAATACTCTTATCAGCATATTTGATTAAGCATTTTGCTAAAAATCCGTATAGACCAGCTTCTATTATAGCTTATCGGATAGCTCTTTTCACGGGCTACAAAACCATTTCTGTTAATCGGAATAACTTACTAGCTAGTCAAGGGTAGATTACGATGGCAACTTTCCGATAAATAGTATTTTTTTCTAAATCGTAGAAGCTTGGTAAGAGTGTGATGTGTAGATCATCTCTTCATCCACAACTGCATCAATAAAATATATTCACAATTTCTCTAGGATGCTGTCACACGCTTAGAAGCTCGAATAGTAATCGTGAATGAAAAATAAATTGATAAAGCTTTTGAAACAATGTCTTCTTCTTTCTTGAAAATGATCATAAGAAGATCTACATCCATTAGGACCTATAATAAAATCTATTTTCTTAACAAAGATTACGTCTGATGATTGAAAAACATATTTTATAAGTATAAAACAAAACAAAGTCACACTGAAAAAAAGACTACAAATCGATCACATTAGTTAAATCATTTTTACAGACGAAAAAAAGACTTTTCAGCAACGACAAAAGAGAGCCAATTTAAATTGTTCGATAGTCGAACAGATATCATCTTTACTATCCTTTTGTTGATGGTATTGACCAAAAAATATATGTTGATCATGGTCCCATTGAAGATCAATCATTTGTTGATGATTACCATTCAATTTTTCATTCTAGATAAAAAATTTAATTTGAACTTTATGAGAAACATCATGATCGAAATGATGATTTAGTGAATAACACTAATTTTTAGTCGACAAAAAGTTTCCTGAGAGTTATGTGAAAGAGCGAAGAAAATTATTCCTGACTGAATTGATTGAAAAATAAGAAAATAGATTACTTTATAATGCCAAGTCATTTTGATAGTTCGACTTTGTGGAGAAAATGAGCCATCCAATACGAATCGATCCACATGATCCTCTCAGAAACCTCGGACTGTCTCGGTCTTCAAATCGAAAATGAGTTCAACATGAGATGGATTTTGCCATGAGTTATTTAAACCACGTTGATATTTCCAAATACCAGATTGAAATATGTTTTCTGATTTCTCTTGCAATGCTTCACTGTGATGATCAGTCATCTACAATACGGTTCGAATTTATATTCTATGTGAAGAGCAATCTATTTCTTGTTCTTACTATTAGGTTTTGTTTGTATGGTGACAATAATGGATAGCATCTAGCACATTGATTGTCGTCAGTAGAACATGCGTATTGTTGTGATTCGGCAAAATCCGATAATCGATCATGCTCATCTTGTTTTTTATTCACAAGTGTAGACATTAGACTAATGCCTAAATTCAAATCGACGACATATTGAGACAATTCATTATGAAATTCTATAAATTGTAGAAGATAGTCTTTACTATACAATAAACGTTTGAAATACCTAGCATTGGTAAATACTTTAATAAATTCCAGACTCTTTTGGAGAAAAGTGATAAATTTTTGTAATGCAGTTTTCATCGATTCATTTAATGTATCATCCAGCTTTTGTTGATGTAGAAATCCAGTAAGAATATCGATTCGTTCACTTAATCGTAGGCATTTATGTCTGTTAGCTTTCGTTCGTCGGGCTGTGTCTCGTATTTCTTTACCAATCTCGAACATTGTCTCGAGAAGAAAAGGTACACTTTTTGCAGCCATTGGAAGTAGTAATGTGGTTGGATCAGCGATCATACTAGCAAGAATATTCATTTTGTTTGAAATGAATAATACGTCTAAAAATACGATATATATGTACAACTAGTGGAGAGAATATATTATATTTGGATTTTTCCTCATGAAGCATACATCTCCACCAATCAACATCAAAAATAAGTACCCAGTGACGATTAAAAAAACGAAATCATGAAAGATGTGTCATCGACCACACTGAATCATGTCAACAAAAATGTATTATTTGCACACAGCACCATCTATGTCCTGGTGAGTTGAAAAGAAAAACTTCTACAATTACATTCGTATACATTGAGTCATATCTTATTGTGTTATGCACTGATGCTTGTTATTCCGAAGCAACATTTGTCAAATAACGAGTGGACCAGAATAAATTCCAGTTTAAGTATTACTCAATGTCTCTTACAGTTTTTAAGATTTCGAACTAAATTTTCTTGTCAAAAGATTTATTGTTGCAAGTTCTGCAAAATAATAAACGAACAAGTGCTCTAGGAGTAGAAGTGCAAATATTGTTGTAGCAACATTACAAACAAGCAATTATTAACGACTTTGAATGGGTTTAATATTCAAAACTAGCGTTGGTGTTTTTATTCCTACATGCAAAGCATTGTCTTTTGGTCACCTAGTATTCAAAAGAATGTTTTAATGGCCATCAAATAGGAAAAACTTTCTGCGTCGAAAATGATACGGTGTTGAATTGCAGCAGTTTTCTTAGAAAACGAAAAAAACTTAGATAAAAAGTAAACTTTTGAAAAATTGAAAAAGGTAAATATAGTGTTTCTGGAGTTTTAAAAAAAATGACTTGTCCAATTTGTGTTTTATATTTCTCGACATGAGAACACAGAAATACAAGAAAGCTCTTGATTTTTTAATTATGCAATGATGAGAAGATGTAGGTGTTCTTCTAAGCTTGACATCCACACCGTACATAACTCTGTCTGCTAAATATCAAACTTATAAAATTTATCATTTTGAGTAAATGTTAACAAATTTTTGCTTGTTTTTAGGTGAAATATTGTCTGCCCAGAGTTAGTAAAGAGCTATGTGACAAAAATGCTTGTTTGAAAATTAGTTTTCATGCATTTGTTTCTTGCTTTTTCATATTATTCCAATGCGATAGACTAAATACTACTTTTGTCTAATTAATATTATCATGGAAGAAAAAAGTGAGAATTTTTGAACGACTTAAATCATCCTCGATACGAAGAACAGAATATTTAGTGTATTTCTGCATATCATTGGCATATTAAAGGTGGACACATATTCTATTTGTAAAGTTATTTGAAAAGTAGTAAAATTGTAGATCATGGTGTGAGTGAAAACAACGAGATGATTCATATCCACACTTTAGACGTGAAAAATTAGATAGTTCATCGATACTTGTTGCAGAAACATGATCATTTTCACATGAGATGCAATAAGAGTCGACAATTTTCACAAAATGAAAGAAAATAGACGATATTGCATCGTGGTTGTGCAATTTTTGCCACATCGATGTGCAACGTGGCGAAAATGACTCGTGTGGCTAGAGAATGAATCACTGACTCTCATACAAAATACCATTACTTGTACATGCACACACAAATATTTAAATATATATCTGTGCATAGAGTGATATAAAAAAAGAATCTAGAACGCATACAAAAATGGGTTCATCATTCAACAAGATTGCATCTTATTTCCCCAGAAAAGAAGAGGTTCGTGTACTTATATCAGGCCTGGATGCAGCTGGTAAGTCTATATTCATGTTTCTATTGCCGGCAATTAATCTCACATACTTATACTTTCTCAAATTTAGGTAAAACAACTGCTCTTTATGTCATGAAGTTGGGTGAAGTCGTGACAACAATTCCTACGATCGGTTTTAATGTTGAAACAGTTGAATTTAAAAATATTACAATGACAGCTTGGGATGTGGGTGGTCGTGACAAAATTCGACCCCTCTGGAGACACTATTATCAAAATACTCGCGCCATTGTTTTTGTCATCGACTCAAATGATCGAGATCGAATAAATGAGGCATCAAAAGAGCTGCATGCAATCATCAACGAAGATGAACTCCAGAACAAGCCTGTTCTCATATTGGCGAATAAACAAGATCTACCGAATGTAATGTCGATAGATGAGTTACGAGATAAACTTGCTTTAGACAAATTAACCGGGGACAGAAGATGGCATATACAACCGACAGTAGCCACAAAAAACCAAGGTCTTCAAGAAGGTTTTGAATGGTTGGCAGGTGCATTAATGAGCAAAAATGTTAATATTTTGCAACCACTGATAGAAACAGCAAACGATTCAAAAATGATGAAAGACGATATTCTATTGATGTTTTCTTCGATTAATCTTAAGTCAATTCTTGCTAAATTCATTCAGTATTAAAAATGTGGGTTTATTCGATCCACTCGAACTGCATTGTTTCTATGTATATATAAAAGCTTGTTAGCGCAGCTCCAGAGGAGCTGAAATGTGGAACTCACGTATATCTTTGAAACTTGTTATCCTGATGTCTGATGTTTAAACTGCAAAATACCTTTTCTCGAGTATTTATGAAAGCATTGATATATTATATATAATCGAAAGCCTTCTATGCGCGGTTGCTCAGGTCTGTAATGAGGGGCTATGTGTAATGGGGGGCTGTCTGTAATGGGGAGTTGTCTGTAATGGGGGGTATGTCTGTAATGTTTTCTTTCCCGTTGCTATGTGTCTGTAATGGGGTGGGGAGAGGGAGCCGCCAACCTCGAACTGAAAACTTACACTCACTATTTTCTTCGAAAACATACGTGAGTTCCACAAAAATCTGTCTTGTCAGACAGGTTTTATGTCTATAATTCTAAAAGAGAATCAGAAATATACTTTTTTCCACGATTGACAAGTTGTATAACGTCTCACACTAACCTTTCGTATATTGATAGCCTCTTGAATATCGTTATGACTTGTAAAACATATGTGTATAAGCTAATCAAGCATCAGTGATCCGCTTTGTACGTAATGATCGCGTCCTTAACTAACCACATAAACGAAGAAAAATATTTCTTGTGGAAAACATTGACAAAATATATTTATATTGTGACGCGTCTTGAAAATTTTTCTTGATAGAAATAAATATTTGTTTGCTAACGTGTATTTTATTACTTTAAATGTAATTTTTATTGAACAATTACAGCGTGGACGTGAACCTTTACTTTTCTCGTACCTATCCCCACTTTGAAGAATACACCTGGCAAGATGGATAGTCTAGTTTGTATGATTATTAGATTTATAAGAGTCTTACATTAATTCTGATAAAATTTGATCTAAGAGTGCAATAGTGGTTACCAAATAGAAAATTAAGACAGCTGGTCAATTTTGAAATTTCATTCAAAGGAATCAGTCGACATCAACTTGTGACATTATGTTAGAATCTTGCAAGCAAAAATCTCGACGATAGAAACATTTTTTTGAAATTTTTTATTGCTGGAGTTTTACGTTTCAAGATTTTTTCTTCGAAGTTCAGTTAATAATAGTTCTCATTGGTCATTATTCGTGTTCCAGTCAATTTTCTCACTATCCAAACAACATTACGATAGTTAAATTCCATATTAAGTAATGAAAACACTAATACAAATAAAATAGGGTGACACAAGGAAAAGAAACACAGTTTTCTAACAATTGTTCAATAATGCACTAATCTTGCGAAATTCAACTTTTCTTCTAACATTTAAGACCTGATTCTGAAGATACCTAGACGTTTCAATCAGATGATTGAATTTTTAGCGAAATATTTATGAATTCTACCAACTATGTCGAGATAATATAGCAATATGCTCCTTGGGAAAAGTAGTTTTCAACATGTTTTTAGGATCTTGTAGAACTGATGCAAAGAAATGTCTAAATGTTCACTGAGAAGCATCAACCCATGTATAGCTATCGATTGTATATACTTCGATTACTTGTAGAAACCAAGTATTCCGGAAAGTGCTCCTTCGCACAAATACAAATTTTCTTTGAATTCCGTTTGGCTAGTGGTGGAAAATAGGACATCAGAATTTGGGAGAGGCAGATTTTGTCACTATTTGATATCCTTCTTACTTTGCAGGAAATATGTGAACCGGTTAAAGAAGTACGAGTAAAAAAAGTATGCTTTTCTTCAAGAATTCAAAAAACAAAACTAAAACAATGAGTGTGAGAGCTGCGTAATGCTTTCAAGTAGTAGGTGGATTTGCAAAAGCTGATTCAGAAGAAATATTGCATGGTAACTCTGGACGATGTTTATAATTGATGTATACTATATTTTTCTACATTTATTACTCCGTCAATCGTGCACATCACTCACAGCAATATAATCGAGACCAGCACTATTCATTACGCATATATATATAGTTCGTCAATTGTCAAATATTGTAAATGATCAATGACATAGATATTTTAAGAAGGATAGTGTAACGACAAACTGGATTGGAGTAGCTTGTGCCACTCTCGGCAATGATGTTTATTCAGCTACTTCACATATCCAGAGTGTGTCTATTTCACATTCAACACACGCTTATATATGATACAGAAACAAAGGGAGAGAGACGACACAGATAGAACAATAGAGAGAGAAAGAGGAAAGAGGAAGAGCAGCGAGCCGTGACGTATATATCGGCACAGATAGCATCAAGAAATTGCGTATGTCTGATCAAAATTTGTGTGAACTCTTCTTAGTTCGACATTTTCAGATTAAAAAATTATACGCAAGATTTAACGAAAAACAAACATTCATTTATAGACGCATTCGTTGAACGATATTCTTTGATTAACACTGTTGTTCTGAAATTAAAAGATCCTATAGAAATATTCCAATGAAGTTCAAACATATCTCTATGAAATTCAAATGCGGAAAAACTATTCAGTGGCTACAAATTTTTTTCTTAACTAATATTAATTTGTTCAAATTATTCCACAATTGTTGTTTGAATATATTTATTAGCATGGGATCTACTAAGTCATTGTTATGATTCTCGATTGACATCAACAATAATTCGTACAACACTTTTCGATGTGTTGTACATAATTATTCGTTCAAATTCGAATCATAACGTGGCTAGACGCAGAATGAACCGAGACATGTCATTCAAGTTCAATTATGCATACCCAACACTCAACAAAATGTTACACATGTATCAGAATATTGCGTTGAAGAGACAAGACCTTCTTGTAGTACATAGAATTGTGGTGTAGGATGAATTCAACAAGGTTGAACTTCTACATTGGCGACACAAAGAATCACAAACCAAAGTGATAAGAAATAAAACCAGACCGAAGTCCACTTTTTTTACACGAATCAAGAATATTTCAAGATGCCTTGAAAATTCCTCGTGAAGAAACGAACGACATGTAGAATGAATTGTAGCCAGCTAAGCATGTGTTAGCTGTCCATAGTCAACTGAGCAAGGCGAAAAAAAAATAATTTCCCAGGTCGAACCTATCCAATAGGATCCCATCGGATCCATAAAACATCCGACAATATCCGATCGTCGGATCCGACAGGATGTCGATAGTCAGAATCCCATGATATCCTATGGTTTCCGACGTTTTCCGACACTAGGATACCCTAGGATTCCAATAGCAGGATCCGTCGTACTCCGACAGTTGGAAAACCGTCGGATCCGACAAAATCCGACAGCACCTATTGGTATCTATGTCACCAATATCAATGTTGAAAATAAACCTGAAATTCAACCAGAAAAATAGCAAAGTCTTTCTTAATGCTGGAATTACAGATTGAGGAAAATTCGTGAAATCTAAACTGTTATTATTCTGGGATAAACCAAGCCTTTTCTAATCGACAGGACATCCATTAACATTTTTTTGATTTGATGAAGTAGATGAAGAAAAGGCAAAGTGTACAAAAGCCTATTTTATTTAGTATATTTGAAATATTTCGAAGTTTCTTATCATTATTTCTTCCTTCATAAGTTAGTTTTCTATTTTCTACTGTTTGTAGAAATTTTTTCGGATAACTCGTCTTTGATATCAAAATACTTCTTTTTCTCGCACATTAATTTCACGAAAAACGACTTTCATTCTTCTTTTTATTAGAGATTTTTTTATATTGTTTTTTCTAAATTATTCCCTTCCAATGTGACGTTGTAAGCTCATCAGATTTTTCATGAAAAGTTTTTGTTTATATTATATGTGTCAGCGTCCAAACTGAAATTACATCCAATGTTGCATTGACGTTATTCTGTTCACAAAAATATCAGCTACTCTTTCCATAGACGTTGGATTCGAATTCAATTCGAACTATTTTTTGGAATTATTTTCGCACGATGCCGCTTTAAGTATTACAAGTATTTAGGAAGAAACTAAATTAAGATTCAAAAGAATAATCAAAAGTTTTTACGAAAGTTGTTCTTTTCTAGAGGTTTATTCATCACCCCTAAAATTTTATTCACATCTATCAAATGAGAATTGTGTCAAAGAAACTGCCATTGCGTAAACATAAGTCAAAAAAATTCGAATCAAGCGTCTATCTAAAGAGTGATCGATATTTTTGTAAACAAAACCGTGTCAATTCGAGATTGGACGCGTCCAACTGCGGATCCTACTTTCGCCTAGGCCAATCTGAAATTGCACGTAATATCAGTTTGGACGCTGACATATATATTGACACTTATCCATTTTAGATTATGATGTTGTATAAAAATTATAGTAAAGTATGTTTTTTTTATTAGCTGGTTATTTTCTTGTTGCTTCAATTATTTGTTTTGAATGGATATGGTGAGTGAATTTTTTGGAAATAATTTTTCTCATGTTCAATGATTCTTTAAAGTTTAACAAAACTGATGTATATAGAAAATAACATAGGCAAAAAAATTGGTAAAATAGCATTTCTTAATTTTCATTAGATAGGAAGATTTTGTTGAATTGTAACGAAGTAATAACATTCGATTTGTTTGTTTTTTTCATATTCAAATAGATCTGGATTTTCTGAGCGAGAATATCATCTTAAAAGTTATTGTTATCTTCATTCTATATTTGCATTTTTGTGTAGATGGATATTGATCTAGAAGATGCATTTCAATTGTCCTGTGAAAAGTTTCAACAGCGTTTAAAAAAGAAAAGAGAGAATTCTCGTCGATCTCGTTTAATATCATGAAGGCATTGAGTTAAATTCTTCAGAATTAATTTCTTCGTCTTCATGTTCATCATCGACAATAGATAAGCCGCCTACGTTTCTTTCGCTCACTGATGTCGACACTCCAAATGATGAAGATGACTTAATATATTTCGATATTGATGAAGATATTCAATCGGTTAATAGTATCGAGGAAATCGACAAATCGGTAGTTTTAAATTTATGTGATGATCCTGATAAAATGGTTGAACAAGAAGTTTCATTTTATTCTACCGAAGTT